GGGGTGTCTTTTTGTTCTGTGTTTGTACAGCACCTAACCCAGGGGGGCCTGCTCTGGGTCTGGGGTTCCTGGGCAACAGCAGAACACAAATAACAATGGAGGTGAGAAACTATGGATCCCGTTCTCCCATACCCGGGGTTATCCAGCCTCAGGCCAGGTTAAAACCAGTGACTTAGAGCTCAAGAGATCCTGCCTCAGTCTCCTGAGCAACCCATTCTCCCTGCCCTAGCCTACATGCAAACCACTGAGCTACAAGTGAAGTAGAAGGACGGAGAAGGTGATGTTACATCTGTGAGGGCATCAGTGCTGAATCCTTTGGAGCCCTGGGGCATTTCCTGTGCAAACCCTTGGAGAGGTCGGGGGTGTATGAAAGAAAGGTGGGAAATTGACCATCCCAGGGCAACCTATTTGGCTTTTCTCTTATGGAATCTCATTGCAGCTTTCCCTGCACCTAGCACTGTGCCCATTTTAATATATCCCTCTGAGTCCCCTGGAAAATGTTCCCTTTGCCACTGGGAAATGATTTAGGTGGCAAAGGGGCTCGTTAGGGAGAGATGACAGGTCTGATCTGAGAGACGCGAACTTGGCAAAATGACAGGTAAGACACGGACTAGGGTTGTGCCAGCAGAGACAAAGGGACCACCATGAGTGGGAGGGAAGTAACTCCATTAGGTGCAGGGTCAGCTCCCCACACACAGCTCTGACGCTGCACCTCCATTCCCACTGCTAGTACAGTCCCACAACAAGTACACCCACAGCTCCTAGCCTGCAACACTCCTGCCAGTCCACTTCTCCACCCCTCCCAGCTCCAGCAGTTCCTCTTGGTCCCTTTTCCCTGCAGCACCTTGTGCTACTTCAGTCCTGTCCCTCACCCACACACGCAGCTCTACCCCATCATCCTCATCCTCTCTATTACAATCTTCCTCCTGATCAGTCAGAGTCAGTCATTGAAGATTGACCAGGCTTAATGGTCTGACACACGCCAGGCCGAGCCGTCATCCAGATCTCGTTAGGCCCTGCCTTGATGGGCCGAGAGTGTGGGTCTAGCTCAGTGGCATTGTCTTGGCTTGACTGGAAAAGCTCATTAGGAGATAGGCCGACATATGAGAGGTGACTAAAGGCACTTGGCTCGTTTGTTAAGCCCATGTTAAGGACCAGGACATGGGTGGTCTTGCCTAATGGTCAGGGCGGGAGGCTGGCCTAGTGGTTGGAGCAGGAGGTGACCAGAGCCCAAATCAGGAGCCATATTACCAAGCCCAGGGAGTGATCTGAGCGAGCCAGGAATCAGGAGCCCAGGGTTGGAGCCAGAGTATCAGTTGTAGCAGGAATAGGAGTGGAAGCCAGGATCCTGGACCCGTGGGAAGAAAACCAGGAGTGAAACGCAAGACCAGAAACACAACTGCAGGTGTGGAATGCCACTGAACAGCCAGAGACCCATGGCTGTGGTAGTGTTTAAGAATGTGCCTACTGGAGTCATTGGCCAATGAGAGGGCCACGTGTGTTCAATGAATCAGCTGAGGGCAATGAGCTGTGTCTGGGCTCAGCTGTGGGTCTCTGACAGCCTAGCAAATCGGCAGCTGAGAGGGGATCTGATTGCTCTCTCTAAATACACCAGGGAGGGAGAAGAGCTGTTTAAGCTAAAGGATAGCGTTGGCACAAGAACACATGGAGATGAAACTGGCCTTGAGTTACTTCAGGCTGGAATTTGGAAATCTGTTTCAAACCATCAGAGGAGGGAAATTCTGGAGCAGCCTCCCAGGAAAAGTAGCAGGGACAAACAACCTAACTAGTTTGGAAAAAGGCTAATGTAGTGCCCATCTTTAAAAAAGGGAAAAAGGAGGATCCAGGGAACTACAGGCCAGTCAGCCTCACCTCAGTCCCTGGAAAAATCATGGAGCATGTCCTCAAGGAATCAATTCTGAAGCACTTAGAGGAGAGGAAAGTGATCGGGAACAGTCAGCATGGATTCACCAAGGGCAAGTCATGCCTGACTAATCTAATTGCCTTCTATGACGAGATAACTGGCTCTGTGGATGAGGGGAAAGCAGTGGACGTGTTATTCCTTGACTTTAGCAAAGCTTTTGACACAGTCTCCCACAGTATTCTTGCCAGCAAGTTAAAGAAGTATGGGCTGGATGAATGGACTATTAGGTGGATAGAAAGCTGGCTAGATTGTCGGGTTCAACGGGTAGCAATCAATGGCTCCATGTCTAGTTGGCAGCCGGTATCAAGCGGAGTGCCCCAAGGGTCGGTCCTGGGGCCGATTTTGTTCAATATCTTCATTAATGATCTGCAGGATGGTGTGGATTGCACCCTCAGCAAGTTTGCAGATGAAACTAAACTGGGCGGAGAGGTAGATACTCTGGAGGGTAGGGATAGGATACAGAGGGACCTAGACTGATTAGAGGATTGGGCCAAAAGAAATCTGATGAGGATTAACAAGGACAAGTGCAGAGTCCTGCATTTAGGACGGAAGAATCCCATGTACTGCTACAGACTAGGGACTGAATGGCTAGGCAGCAGTTCTGCAGAAAAGGACCTAGGGGTTACAGTGGACGAGAAGCTGGATAATAGTCAACAGTGTGCCCTTGTTGCCAAGAAGACCAATGACATTTTGGGCTGTATAAGTAGGGGCATTGCCAGCAGATCGAGGGACATAATCATTCTCCTCTATTCGACATTGGTGAGGCCTCATCTGGAGTGCTGTGTCCAGCTTTGGGCCCCACACTACAAGAAGGGTGTGGAAAAACTGGAAAGCGTCCAGCGGAGGGCAACAAAAATGATTAGGGGACTGGAACACATGAGTTATGAGGAGAGGCTGAGGGAACTGGGATTGTTTAGTCTGCGGAAGAGAAGAATGAGGGGGGATTTGATAGCTGCTTTCAACTACCTGAACGGGGGTTCAAAGAGGATGGATCTAGACTGTTCTCAGTGATAGCAGATGACAGAACGAGGACTAATGGTCTCAAGTTTCAGTGGGGGAGGTTTAGGTTGGATATTAGGAAAAACTTTTTCAGTAGGAGGGTGGTGAAACACTGGAATGCGTTACCTAGGGAGGTGGTGGAATCTCCTTCCTTAGAAGTTTTTAAGGTCAGGCTTGACAAAGCCCTGGCTGGGATGATTTAGTTGGGGACTGGTCCTGCTTTGAGCAGGGGGTTGGACTAGATGACATCCTGAGGTCCCTTCCAACCCTGATATTCTATGATTCTATGAGTTTTAAGGTAGAGTTTGATACATTTTTGAACGGGCCTATATGACGGAGCTTCCTGTGAGAGCAGGGGACAGGACTCAAAGACCCAAGATTCAGTCCTATTTTCCTATTTGATGGCTAGCTCCCTTCTAGGCTATGAAATGGCCAGCTAACATGGCTGCACACGGCAGCCCATGTGCTAAGGGAACTCCTTTAAGCTAGCAGAGTGGAAAAACACATTTTTTGCCCATGAAGAGAAGGACCTAGCAGCTTGGACCGGTCTGCAGGCAGCATTACTTTGACTACATTCCCTGCTTTTCTTACCTGTGTGGTTTGGGTTTTGCTGTTGTTGTAACATTACTGTTTCTTTAAAGTGTAGAGGGGACACCATGATGGAGCATTTTCTCCAGGGAGATTTTCCAGCAGCTGCGTCTGGGGTACAGAAGTTTCACACTGATATATTCATAGATCATATGGCCAGAATTCAAACTGGAACAGGTGCAGGGAAGGGCTACCAGGATGAGCAGGGTAGTGGAGAGCCTATTTTATGAGAGGAGACCAAAAGATTCATAGATTAAGTGACCATAAGAGACCATTGTGATCATCTAATCTGACCTTCTGCATATCACAGACCAGAGAACTTCCTTGACTTAATTCCTAGTTGGGCAAGCAAAGAAAAACATTCAATCTTGATTTAAAAATTGCCAGTGATGGAAAATCCACCACAACCCTTGGTTCATTATCCTTACTTAGAATCATAGAGTATCAGGGTTGGAAGAGACCTCCAGAGGTTGTCTAGTCCAACCCCCTGCTCAAAGCAGGACTAACACTTAAAATGTTGCACCATATTTCCAGTCTGAATTTGTCTAGCTTCAGCTTCCAGCCACTGGACTTTTGGCAGCTAGATTGAAAAGCCCATTGGCAAATATTTGTTGCCCACATAAATGCTTATTAACCAATGTTCTGGAAGGCAGCCACAACTTTAACTCCCCTCCACAAAGTTTTCTGTAAATGAATAGTGTCTCCACAGGACAGACTGGGCAATATTGGTATTATTTCAGGTGAATGAGGTGCCTGCCTCTGTGTGTCTGTTTGTGAAGGGATATTTGTTATGGAGTAGACTGCCCAGCACTGGGCATCCCAGGATTTCTTGGCTCCCGCCTCTGGGGCAGCGCTTCCAGGCTTTTCCTTCAGCTGGGGAGATCACTGTCAACCCAGAACAAAACATTTTGATATTTCTGAATCAACATTTTCGGTACTTTTTGTTGTGTGAAAAGTTTTTGTGTTCACATTTCATCCCAATTTAGGACAAAAACAATGATCAAAATATTGGACTCTCCCACAGGATGGAAATTCCAATTTTTTGACCCCCAGCTCATTATTCTTAATTATTAGCCACTAACTTTGGGTGCTTCCATGGCTGGTGCCCAACTTAAAAAGGGCTTTTCAGCGAAGCTGAGCACCCGTAATGCCAGTCAGTGTCCCTGGGAGCTGTGGATGCTCAGCACCTCTGAAAATCAACCCAATACCACTCAGATTGGGCACCCAGACATGTAGAGATCAAATATTAGTTGCCACTTTTAACAACCCAGACACCTTAATCATAGGTTTTAGTAACACATGATGCCAGAGAAAGGAGAATCATTTGTCATATATTTTATTAACCAGGGTGCCACATAACCAATAATTTTTTCTCCAGGGTGAAGCAATTCCCTGGCATCGCTATCCGGAGCTGACTCTAAGAGGATTCTTGGCCTGCCCCTTTTTTATTTCCCCCTTCCCACACAACCAGTCCAGTAAGAGACAACAAGAACAGGAAAATCAATGATCACTTGGTTCTGGTGTATTGTGACCCTTCAGCCAGGTGTTGTCAGCAGCAAAAAGGGCTGGGTCAAATATCTCAGGGTTCCCCTTAAAATCAACAAACACACCAGCTCAAGCACCCACAAGAAACCTGGGAAAACCCTTCCCTGTGAGCCCTTAACAGGCAACACTTCCCCTCTCACGAGCCATGAGTCTGTGTATAGAAACAAGGAAATGTTATTAAGTGGGAAAGGAACACAGCATTGATTTGGGAAAACACAACAAATCAACTGTATATTTACGTGAATAGTAAGTAAAACATAATATCATGGGCAGTAGTCCTTTGCCTCAGTTTTCCCAGAGGCCAGTGTGCCTGTCTGATGGACAAATGTCCCTTTCACGCACCCCTTTCTTCCCTTCCCCTCCAGTCCATGGTTAGCATAGTCCAGCCCAGAGTGCAGTCAGACAGGTCCATCCCAAGCCCCCGGGGGTGGGGGCGTGGTGCTTGATTTCTATGAAGAAATGATTTGCCTCTGCCTCTCTATCATGTACCCTCTTCTAGCTGCAATGCTAGCTTTGTGTCACCTCACACCACACCATCACTTGTAGCCTGAATGCCAGATCTGCAGCCTGAAGTGCCAAACACAGCTATTGCTGTTATAACTCTAGTGGTACTGAATAAGGGCATCTTGCTACAGAGGACTATCTGTCAGCACAATGGTAGATTCATATTCTCAGGATCCTAACCCACACCCCTTCCCCCATTCACAGAAGAAGTTAAAGAGCTAAGATGAGGCTTGGGCATAATCCTTGCATGTTTGTTTGCATGCATACATGCATTTGCTCAACAAACCAAACGAAAACACCAATTGTAGCCCCACTTCCATTACCCAGGAGTGCCAGATGGAGATTTTGGTTAGTACACACTAAGTACAGTCCCACTGTCTTTTTGCCACACAGAAAGGATGAAAACATTTCATATCCTTATCCCCCAAAGTTAATTGTTCACATTGGAAGGGCAGCTAACAAACATGCGAACGAGGTCAGGCATTGTGCCTTTTCCTCCAGTTCACCAAGAGATGGCGGCAGAGAGCTCCTTCCCTATAGCAGCCACAGGCTGATGGCTCGTTTTCACCTTGATCCTCTGATTTCTCTTGGCCTCCACAGGTTTACACTTCATGCACTGCAGCAACTAGGGCTGCATTTCAGAGCCCGCGTACGTTCCACTCCCAAATCGGGCATCCCTGCCTCCTTCCTGCCTGTGGCATAGAAATAGGTGGCTTCTGCTGCATGGAGCGACCAGGCCTAAGAGTGGAACCTGGATTGGAACTCCACATTGCAGAGGGGCAGGGGAGGCAGGAATGGGGCTGACAGGCATAGCCTGGGTCTGGGGGGCAGGGACTGGTTGCAGAGACATGGCCCTCTGGCCCCTCACCGAGGCTGGGATGCCAGTGCCCGCCTCATGGCTCTGCTCAGGGCCTGCTTGATGTCCTTGTTCCTCAGGCTGTAGATGAGGGGGTTGAGCAGTGGTGTGACAAAGGTGTAGATCAGAGCGATCTGTCGGTCCTCCTCCTCTGTTGAGTCGGCCTTGGGGCGCAGGTAGACCAGGCCACAGCAGCCGTATTGCAGCAGCACCACCGTCAGGTGGGAGGAACAGGTGCGGAAGGCGCGGCGCCGGCCCTCGGCCGAGCGGATGCGCAGCACGGCAGCTGTGATGAGGGCGTAGGAGAGGCAGATGAGGAGGAAGGGGACGGCCAGCACAGCCACGCCCACGCTGAACAGCGCAGTCCGGTGGAGGCGCGTGTCGCCGCAGGCTAGACGCAGCACGGGTGGCACATCGCACAGGAAGTGGTTGATCCGGAGACCGCAGAAGGGCAAGGCAAAGACCAGGGCTGTCAGCCCCAGTGAGAGAAGCCCCCCGAGGCACAGTGAGGCAACCACCAGCCACCGGCAGAGCTGTCGTGTCACGATGAGGGCGTAGCGCAGCGGGTGCCGGATGGCCACGTACCGGTCATAGGCCATGACTGCCAGCAGGAAGCAGTCAGCACTGCCGAGTGCCACAAAGAAGAACATTTGGGCCCCGCAGCTGGCCACGGTGATGGTGGTGTGGGCATCCCAGACACTGACCAGCGTCTGGGGTACTACTGCAGTGGTGTAGCACACCTCCAGCCCTGAGAGGCTGCCCAGAAAGAAGTACATGGGGGAGTGGAGGGTGTGGTCGGTGCAGACCACCCAGAGAATGCAGGCGTTGCTGATGATGATGGTCAGGTAGAGCAGAAGGAAGAGCACGAAGAGGAGCTGCTGTGTCGTAGACACAGACGAAAAGGGGTGGAAGACAAACTCGGTGGCGAAAGACTGGTTGGTGTGGCCCATGTGCCCCAGATTCACCTCACCTGCTGGGAAACCACAGAACCAAGAGTTACACAAGGGGATGTATGTCTCACTGCGTCTCCTGGCTCTCACTGTGCACCACACTCAGACTCCTCATGCTTAGGCACTGCGTTTAGGGTACTCTGCAACAATGCACCTGGATACAGCACCTTGCTGGGAGCCTGCAGCCCTAGGCCCTCATCCCTACCTTACTGTATGAGCCCAGTGGCATCATCTCAGCTCATAGGGCAACTTTGGACTTTCACAGCTAAGAGTTTCAAAAGCAACTGTGGGTTTTGGGACCCAAATGGATGTCTCTTAAAGGAGCCTGTTTTTTAGAGGGTGGAGCCAGATCCTCAAAGGCACCCAACTTCCATTGATTTCAATGGGAACGAGGGCTGAATACCTTTGAGGATCTGGGCCTGAGTACTCAGGACTTTATTAAAATCACCCTCACTTGTGCTGTCCCAGACTGGGCACCCAAAATCACAAGTCACTTTGAAAATGTGGATCCCATCATTGTGATATTTCCTGACCTGTCTTTCACCTTGGCTTGGTTTTTACCGTTCCGGGGCAGGGCTACAAGGCCAGCGGAACTCAAAAGTGGCCCAGCTTCTTCCGTGGGTGAGTTAGCTGAGTGCAGATGCCACTTACAATGTGGGAAGGAATCAGTGCGTCGCTCCACCCTCGTGGCGTTCTGAAGGGGCTCCCACGCTCCTAAAACGATCATGTTCCCAGCAAATGGAATGATCGCCTCCCGCAAGGACCTGGAGAAATTCTGAGTATCTGGAAATATGGGGTTAGAATGGAAACCAGGACTCTAGATCAGTCGTGCCCAAGCACTGCTGTCATGGATGGATAGACAGATAGATAGATTAGATTAGATTAGATTAGATTAGATTAGATTAGATTTAGATTGGGTGTATGGAGCTAGCTAGCCTGAAGCAAGCACCCCAGATCTGGGAGTTTATGGAAATTAGCCAGTCTCACACGTGAGGGCAGTGATGGGGCCTTTTGTTGCAGCTGGGTTCAGACCAGAAGGGCAGTTCCTTCTGATGGATTGCCCCCCCCCCCCGTCTCTAAGCCCTGGATCCTGATCGGAATGGCCAGGTTGCTTGTATCCCCCCACATCCTGGAGGCTGGGGAGGTGTCTTTGCCCCCCTAGATTGAAGAGCAGCAGTGAAGCTGCTGCCTAGTAGTTATTGCAGCCCCACGGGCCATTGCCTGCCCTGGGCCTGTCCCTGTTCTCACGCACCCTGGTGAGAATCAAGAGTGACTCCAGGGAAGTCAGTGGGTTCACACTGGAGATCAGTCAGGTCCTGTCTGCAGGGTATACTGGCCAGTGGATCCAACAGTTCAGTCCCCAGACGAGGGCAGGGAGTGTTTGCAGGGCACACAGATCGGGGCAGGTTGGCACAGTACCCCTGATCCCTGTGGGAAGAGACAGAGTCACAGATGCCTGGGTTCAGCCAGCTCTCTGCCTGGATCCCTCCCCTCCAGGCCTGCAGCGGAGAGAGGACAGGATAGGACACAACCAACCATCCCCTTGGATGAGCGTCATGGGAACAGGCATGGAACACACATGCATGCACATGAATATACACATATAGGTGTATACACACACGTGGATACAAAGACATGCACATGTACACACGCATATAAATGCACACATGGAGGCCCACATGCATGCACATACACATATACACACTCTCATGCATGTGCACACATACACAGGAATCCCAGCTGCCAGGAGGGACCATCCCTGGCAGGTTTAGTTCCTCTCAGGACACCCAGCCCACAGTGAGAGCCAACCTTGCCTAACACATGGCCTGACTCCCCTCCAGCCCTATGGGGGAGCCTTGTGGTTGGTGTTGTGCCCATTCCCATCACTGAGGACACAGGTAAGCAGGGGCACGGTGTCCTAGCGGCCAGGACAGAGTTACCTGCCTCCTCATTATTATCCCCATCTCTGGGCAGCACAAGGCACGTCTGCAGGCCGGACGTCCCAGTCCCCAATCTCACCAACAGACGCTGGGTTGGTCTAAATCACCACAACAGTGATGCAGCTCGTTGACACCAGTGGAGGGCTCCAGTAACCCAACGGTTACCATGATGGGGCGAGAGCTGGGGAATGCACTGTAGGCAGCAGCCCTGAACTAGCTAGGGGGAAACCCAGTGGGGTTCACCTACAAGAGCGGATGGTACATCCACCCTTGTAGGGAAGGAGGATGGCCCAGTGGTTAGACCCCTAGCCTGGCTTCCAGTCCCCATTCTGCCACACCCATCCTGCCCAAGTCACTCAGGGTACGTCCGCCTTTGAGCAAGGAGGTGCGATTCCCACCTTGGGTAGCTGCACCTGCTCGAGCTAGTGCCTAGAAATAGTTGCATGTCTGCTGTCGCATGGGCTAGTGGCCCGAGTTATACACCCAGGGGCGGGGTTGGATTGTACTCGGAGCATCTGACCAAGCCACTGTGCACTCGCTGCTATCTTTAGGCACTAGCATGAGCAGAGCTAGCATGGGTGTGACTCACCCCTCCCAGCTCAAACATAGGTGTGCCCACAGTCTCTCTGGGCTTCACTACCTCCTCTGCCCAATGGGGATAACTGCCCTACTGCACAAGGGATCTGAGAGGCACCCACATTCTCTGGGGGTGGCTAAGTGCCCGTGATAGCTGGCTGAAGGGAACGGATGGAGGTGCTGCAGGATTGACCATCCTGGGGTAGTGAGCCACGGCATTGGTCCAATAAACGACAGCGATAAATCAGTTCTCAAGGAAATCTCTATCCCTGGCCGCCTCTTCTTCTCCAGTGTGGGCAGCTGACCGTGGCACGGGGTCAGTGAGTCTCCAGCCGCTTGCTTCAGCACTCAAGCTGAGCGGGGAGGAGTTGGACACCTGGCCAGATGGTCTGATCCAGGCTGGCAGTTGCTGTGGCCCCCTTCCCTTCACCCTGTCAGTCTGTGCAGCTCTTTGATATCAGCAGAGAATCCCAGAAAGCTAACAGGGGAGACATCAGCCATGGCAGGGTGAGATTTGGGAACACACCTTAGAGAGGAACCCCAAACTGGCTCTGCGGGACCCAGTGGGCTTCACTCACAGGAACCCATGGTACATACAGCCTTTCAGGGAAGGAGGGTGGGTGAGTAGTTAGGGACCCCTTTCCCCCTGGATGGGTTGTCATCATGGAGATCAAACCCAGGATCCAAAGGAGGATCCTGCCCCCCAAGGCTCCAGCAGACTCATCAATCTCTCAGTGGTGCGGTCGCTAGCAGAGGACAGAGTGCTACATGGAGTAAGCCAGGGTTACAGAAGCATCCAGGCTGCAGCTACTGACTGAGTCAAATTATAAGACCATAGAGATCATTGCTCTGCTCCAGCTAGGAAATTTCTGAGCGAGCTCACCCCATGCTAGTCAGACACCACTTCGCCAGCAGTGCTGCTGCAGTTGTACTGAAACAAGCCAGCCCTGACCTACTCCCAGTGCCCTCTGTGCTGAGGCTTAGGGCATTTTCCTACTACCCACTAAGACTGGGGAGAGGCTTATATTAAACATCACAGTGCAGCCTGGAGCTGGATGGAGCAGCCATGGGGAGAGAGCCCCCATCCGTTCCAATCACAGCCAGGAAAGCCCAGAGACAAGAAATGGGGGGTGGGGAGGGACTGCCACTAAGTCATTGTCCACCCCACCCCCACCCCAAGCTAAGACACCACCACGAAACTGGTACATTCTGGGTAAATACATATGCAAATGAGCATGCTGAGCATCTCCCCCCACACACATTCTGGGCTTCCTAATTCCAGGCCCCGGGGCTCCATGGGACGCTGAAGCAGGTGTTTGCTGGCTAAGCACAGGGGTTGAAATGATGTCCTTACCCTGCCGAGTCCTGTCAGGTTCCTGGAGCCGCTTGGGGTGGTGATGGGCTGAGCTGCATGCTGTCACCTGGCTAGGAGGCCAGTCCCAAAGGCTGAGGATGGCTCATGGCCCAGCTGAGGCCTCGGAGACTATTGGACAATGGAGGGCAGAGAGCTAGTGAGTCTGGCAGTGTCCAAAGGCTCCTTGACAACGGGCTCTGGCTGCAGAGGGAGCCGGTATAGGGATCTTAGAAAGGGGGAGTGTCTTTCTCTAGCAGCAACAGGAGACAACATCAAAGTGTCCCCCTCTCCCGTGGCTGCCTCCGCCTCCACCCTGATGCAGCTGGGGTATTTAGCTTCCTCCCCAAGATCTGTCCCTAGGGGGGCTGCCATCCCCCCCCCCACCTCATCCAGCACTGACATGCACTTCCTCAGTCAGAAGCAATTGATCCTGGTGCCAGACTACCTGTGCCATTCTGGGTATGGAGCCCACACATCCACCCCCCACCTGCCCCCCAGCAGGGTCTCTGCCAGGGACTCACTCTGGGTTCAAAGAAGAGCTGGATAATTTCATGGAGTATAGGTCCACCCATGGCTGTTAGCCACAGTGGTCAGGATGCAATCCCATGCCCAGGGTGAACTGAAACCTCTGCCTGCCAGAAGGGGATCGGTCTAACTGCCCTGCTCTGTACACTTGCCCTGGAGCTCTGGTATGGGCCACAGTTGGAGACAGGATACTGGATGAGACCGTGGTCTGACCTAGTGTGTCAGCTCTTAAGCTTTTCTCACTGTGGAGTACCCAACAACAAGGCTCAATGGATCAGAAATTTGACAGGGGCCTCAGATTGCCCACACCACACCTTTGCCTTTGATGGGCACCAACTACTCAAGGAATCTTTGCCAGTGCCCTCTTAGGCTAACCAGCGCCTTCTTCATGGAAGTGCGTCTATTGGCTACTCACCACCTAAATCTCCACAGTCACTGGATGCTACAGCTCCGATCCCAGCAAAATCTCTACACCCCCTCCCCATCTTCTCTGTACAACCAATGCTTTCTTCTGAATCTCCAGTGCGGTCCAAAGCTCTCTCAGTGCACTTGCTGTGTGCCACCAGAGCATTGTGGGTCATGGTATATTCAAATGAGCATCACATGGCAGGCCCCCCAAT